AGTCTACTCAGCTGTAAATGAGTACGTGGTTGTGTAATACTAGAATTGTAGAATGCTAGCTGTGAACGCCGAAATGGCAGCACCGGCTGTATACTCCCTAGTGAGTTGAGAAAGATATTGGCTGGTTGCAAAGGCCCTATAACATGGGTAATACTTTGTGAACCGCTTTGAGACGACCTACGAACTAGGTTGTGATAAAGCGGTATATAAGAACCTCGAATTATTATTATTATTATCACATAAAAACATGTGAGTGTCTATGTTTGTTCTAATTCATTATGACCATCATCTTATATCACTGTACTAACATTACACATTATATTTATTTAGATATTTTTTGAGACAAAACGGAAAAGGGCAGGGAAACAGTGTGTTGCCTTACACAAATCGTAGGTATTATAAAGGGCTCCTGTACCATTACTAAAAAAAACTGTAACTTTACATTCATGATTTTTCGACATGACTATGACAAATCATTTCTGAAACGAAATTTATATTTTGAGAGACGTTTATGATGAAATGAACAAGTAAACAATACATAGCTGTGTTCTGATTGTGAAAATACACAGTTTATAAGTCCGATCCAATATCACCACCGCCCCCCAATCAATTGAACTACTTGGCCAGTATCCTGGCAGAATCACGATGTGCTTTTACCGAGAACGAAATTAAGGCGAGGTTATTGTACCATTGTACCTTAACACTACAGTAAACCCCGCTAACTCGAACTCGTGGGGTCCAGATTAATAGTTCAAGGACTACATGGTATTCGACGAATCCGAGGTTCGACCGACTTCGTCATTTATTTATCAGGTGGGACAACAGACAGTACGAGCACTGTAAATATCGCAGATAGTAGATGATAGAAGTAAAAAGGAAGTTTAATAAATATGACAACATTTAATAAGATATAAAATAGCTGAACAATGAACACATGTAGCCATCGGTATTAAGAAAGAAACTAAACTAAAAAGCTACATGTGTAATGCATGAAAAAAATGGAAAAAATGTGAATCATATGTAGGACGTTTATCAAGCAGGGAAGCCGCAAACTGATCCCATTTCCCCGAACCAGATGACCCGCCATTGCACGTGGCGTGACGTGAATTAGATACAGATTCTGGAGCACCAGTAAGCTACTGACGTTGTCATTCACATTTTATCAGTTCATAACACTCTCGTAAATGTCCGCACTCTTATTAACGTACTCCTTCAGAGAAAAGCGTGGGCGCGAAGTGTACACGTCAGTGTGCTTGGGAAAAATGATACATTTAACTGTATGTGTAACATACGACCATTGTCACGTGTGGTATATACTTCAATACAGCCGGAAAGCTAACCGAAAATAACGAATAATAAATATCATATCAAGAAACTTGGATTAAAATAATGCGTGTGCGGCATAATTCTCCGATGAAATAAACCATTAAATATCTATATTTAATTGTATTTATGATGTGTGCTTGTGGTTTTAATTTTAACTCAATATAGTGTTATTTTTATTTCAAGCGAGTGGCTTGGCTACACGCTTGGATATGCAAATAAGTCACGTGACAACATGATGACGCCTGGCGGAAGTTTCTGCGTATAGGTCACCTGACTCGCACACAAAGCGTCACTGAGAAGAAAGAGCAAAGGCTAAAGGTCAAAAGCCATTTTTATTTGTATACCCGCCACCTCCCCTGTCTCCACTAGGGTGAAGTTGTGTGGTATTCTATGTAACTAATTTTTACATTGCCTTTGCTCTTTAGTATGATAATTTTTCTCTTCAGTATTTTGTTATCAATATGCATTTTAAGTCACGTTCATTGTAATACCTCTATCTGTTATGAGGGTTAAATCATTATGTAACGGTGAGGCCAGATATATACCTCACCTACACTAGTCAATCTTGTTTTTACATACGTAATGTTACGTACTGTTATATGTACTGTTTTTACGTAAAGTCATATGCAGTTGTGTAATGTCGTTATATAATGTCGTTATAATAAACGGCCTTTACAATCACAATTGTAGTTGACTAGTGTACAAGCTTGCAGTCTTGAAGTCATACCATGTGAACAAGCAGCACGACATAAATGGTATTTCACCATATTCCAAAGTATAGAAAAAGGCTGAACGATGCCATTGTGTGTCGAATTTGATTCGTATTTACGCTGCTAACGAATTGTACTGTACTTGTGAAGATCGTTTCGTCGCTTTTATGCTAGAATAGCCTTACAGTGTATGTGAGTGTCGGTTTGTATTTAATAGTTACTTATATATTTTACCTATAGGAGTCGGTTAGTTGTGAATTTACATATGTAGGTTAAAAGTGGGAGTCGGTTAGTTTTGAATTTATTTATGTAGTTTACATGTGAGAGTATGTTAGTCGTAAATAATTATAGGGTTTACATGTGACAGTCGTAAAGACGTGTGTAGTTTATGTGTGAGAGTCGGTTAGTCGTAAAAACGTATATAGTTTATATGTGAGTGTCGGTTAGTCGTAAACACGTATGTAGTTTATGTGTGAGAGTCGGTTAGTCGTAAACACGTATGTAGTTTATGTGTGAGAGTCGGTTAGTCGTAAACACGTATGCAGTTTATGTGTGAGAGTCGGTTAGTCGTAAACACGTATGTAGTTTATGTGTGAGAGTCGGTTAGTTGTATACACGTATGTAGTTTACACGTGAGAGTCGGTTAGTCGTTAGCACGTATGCAGTTTATGTGTGGGAGTCGGTTAGTTGTAAACACGTATGTAGTTTGTGTGTGAGAGTCGGTGAGTCGTAATCACGTATGCAGTTAACGTGTGAGAGTCGGTTAGTTGTATATACTTATGTAGTTTACATGTGAGAGTCTGTTAGTCGTAAACACGTATGTAGTTACCATGTGAGAGTCCGTTAGTTGTATACACTTATAGAGTTTACATGTGAGAGTCGGTTAGTCGTAAACACGTATGGAGTTACCATGTGAGAGTGGGTTAGTCGTAAACACGTATGCAGTTTACGTGTGAGAGTCGGTTAGTTGTATATGCGTATGTAGTTGATGTGTGAGATTCAGTAAGTCGTACACACTTGGGTGGTTTACATGTGAGAGTCGGTAAGTCATAAATACTTATGTAATGTACGTATGAGAGTCTGGTAGTCGTAAACACCTATTGAGTTATCATACGAGAATCGGTTCGTCGCTGCCCTTATGCCACTTCTAAGTACTAGGATGTTTTTTCGTCCATGTACCCTGGTGGCAGGTATGGTGATATAACCTGTTTTACGTTGAATTGTCAAACAACAAGGTTTGGTTATATATAGTGTCTTTCGTTTATAGGGTATGACTTAAACCTCCCGCATCGCTGGAGACTTCATATCGGACCGATTGTTTGCCAAATACGTTCCGTATGAAACAAAGTATTCGCTCACAAAGTACTTGCAATGTGAATAAGTTGCACTGATATATCAGTGGTTTGTCAGTTAACACTCTAAATGTACAGGTCTTATCCGCAGCTGATCACATTGCTTTATACTTACAACGGTAAAGTACAGTATATCATGTTACCAAGATAAGTATAGACAATACAACTCAAGGTTAACACTGATATTTATACTGTGTGGGTCAATCAGGCGAATCCGGTCATAAATCTTCAGAAATACACCTCGACTTGACCATTTACATGTGAAATGCAATTTGGATATACATATACTTCTTTTGTTATTTCTTCTAAATTTATGAAACAACTCCAACATTTCACGGCTTACAATTTACTACGCAGCCTTGATAGCGTCAAACCTGGTAATAATGCTGGACATCGTACGATTATATTTCTCATGACCTTACGCCAAGTTTAGAGATTAACGCGATACACATATCTACCCTTACAGCACTAACTATCCTTGTTCTGTTTAAATCAACACGGCTTATATAATTAACAACTCAAAGTACACATTGCCTATGAATGTGTTCTGCAATAGCTAGCATATTGAATTTGAAAAGCGATGAATGAGATATCAGTTAAGTTACTTTCTTGTATTTGTAAGTGCAAACAACAGGTACATAATTATAAAGGTAAACATGCGATTGCTTACCTTTCTAATTATAATAAACTCGTAGAATTCAAAACAATAAAACCATAGTGAACAGAAAACTGCATCGCCATACTTATTTGTGGTAAGGTAAAAAACAAAAGCTAAACTAAAACAAATACAACATCATAATATCAGCAAAGATCTTCACTATAAGTCATTACGATTAGACGACAGGGAAGTATATGGACACCACAACAAAAGGAAAGACATCATGATCGCAACAAAACACCGTAGGAGAAACCCAGACACACCAGCATGGTAAGCGGGCCAAGCACTGTCTTACGTCATCACAGTGGAATCTTCCATGATATCCTTCGTTAACATATGTCGGAACCTTCATGTGCTCCGTCACCACATCTGGGTTCAGTAAAGAGGTCCTTATTTATTATATTTGAGGTGTGTTATGATGTCATTCGCACTATATCTAGGATCTGCAATACTGTCGCTAATTAGGCCGTATGGGATCTGTGAAGAGATATTCCGTCACCGCATGTGGGGCAGTTCAACAGCAACTCAGCATTTGGTTTCCGCCATTATTTCTGCCGGCACCACATGTGGTAACGGCCATGATGTCTTCGTCTGATCGAGGGAAATGCGTGATACGCAATTACCGTCGATCTAAGGCAGAATTAAATCATGTTTTACTGTGGTAGACACTGACTGTCAAATGTTAGATGTCATGATGACGATCGTATGATCCTAAATATAGATTGTATGTTATCCCAGTCGTGTAATGGCTACTTTGATGCGTTATTTTTCTCAAAAACAGGACAGTCCTGAAGTTGCTCAACATGTGTGATACTAGTATGTTAATTATTAGAAGAGGCTAGAATATTTACACCGAGAAAAGGAGAGTAAATGAGAACAACAAAAAAAAAAAATCCGAATATCGGTGATGAATAGTCCTTACATCGGCTTTCAAACAATTAAGTCAAGTCAATATTGCAGTTTTGGAATGTTTTATTCATTGAATTTGAGTATTTTGTATAAATATAAAGAACAAGGCCCAGTTGTTAAAATCATATCGTGATAAATACCCAAATTTGTTCAAATATTTGTGCGATTCCTTTTTAGAATTGGTCATATTCAGTCTTTTTAGGTTCATTATAATTTTCATTGTTTATGTAATATATACATGTACTGTACTTTGTGGATGTTTTGTGTTAGGTTTGCAGAAAAGTAATTATTTATTAATTCTTTGATTGATTGATTGATTGATTGATTCATTCATTCATTCATTCGTTCTGTATTTGATTTCAACAGCTTGGATTAATAAATAAATTAATTAATTCGCATTCATCCATCAATTCACTCATCCTTCCATCCATCTACAAACTTTGTTTTATATATCAATCAATCAATCAATCAATCAATCATTTATTTTATTGAAGTGTCACATGTTAATACATTCTATATATTAGAACAGGTATCTGAGAAATATATACCCGTGCTTTTCATTCTATCATTCATGCATGACATACACTCGTCGGTATCAGTAGAAAACAGTCTTTATACTGTAACGAACCAAACTATTTTACCTGGTCTTCTGTTAACAAACTCCTGCATAGACTCAATCACACCTAATAGGTGGGTTATTACATGTATTATAATACTAAATACTATACTAAACTAAACACGTATACATAGATTTTCCGGCATTTGGTATTTTATAACACATTATTATCACATACCATCGAAGAAACAAATTGACTAACCTTTAAAAACTTCTCATTTGTATAACACACACACATATATATAATATACATATTCTATAATATAAGAAAATATACAAAGATACAAAGATATGGATAGTGTGTAGGGTATTATGAAAAATAAATATCATATATACGTTATCTATGAATTAAATATTAGGAACGTTGACATTACACTGTATGGCCTTATATACAACACTGCAAACTCTGACTTATCTGTATCAAGATTGGAAATGTTACATGTATCATGCTATTATTTTATGTTTATTATTATTTCGGAAAATGTGATTTGTAGTAAATATTAATTATTTTTCCGTGTCCGTTTGTAAGGATATTTCTTATGTGTTGCTATTTCTCCTAATTGGTGTTCAACAAGTACTTTATCATCAATGGCAAGTAAAGAATGAGCTTGTTTTCACTACGAATCTCATAACGATGTGAGGGACGTGATTTTGAGACGTGTAGAGGGAGACAACTCTTAGTTCCGTATAAAACAGACCACCATTCATATAATAAATAAATGAATGTAACGGGTAAACAAGATATATTTTCCAAACTTTGATATTGAACAAAGTTCTAAATGTATATAAAACAAAATAAACAATTATGTTAGCAGTCTTTATAGAATATATAGAAAAAAATAACAAGATAAAAAATACCTTATCTTCACTCTTTGAACAATTGGGTATACGTTTTTTTGAGTGCTTTTAAAGATTCAATGTACATCATTAATAAAATATTGAACAACATATAAAATACAAATATATTTACTACACAATTGAATTAAATCATATGTGTGTAGTATATTACAGTATCAAAGACGTTCTTAAAAAGAGTGGGGGATTGATGATAATTGAACACAAAAATATTAAATCTGAAATACATATATCAAAATATGAATAATTGAAATGGACATTAACAGAAAGAAACAAAATGAAGTTATACTGAATGAATTTTCAATTAAATTAATACATTTTGAGAAAATCGATTTAGAAATATGTTATTCTAGTTACGTTCAATTGATTGAAATAAAACACTGATTGACAGGCACGTATGATGTATGAACGTGAATTGAATTCAATAAAATATTTAACATGTATGCATTAATTTGAATTGAATACAACGAAAAATGAGTGGACGTGAAACATAAACGCAACAAAATGATGTGACATATAATTGAACATGATTCAATCCATTAAATGTAGACGAATTTATCTTTTAATGACATTTAAATTATGATTAATTTTCAATGATCTAGCCCCTATCTTGGTAAGCCTCTAAACCATACGATACACAATAATGTTTAACATTGTCGTTGAAATTCGGAAAATAGTCTTTGCTAAGACAAATGAAAACAAAACCAACGTGAAAAAAGATCGAAAACAAATGCGTTCGTCTTCAATGAATTTGATGCTGTTACTCGCAGAATCCTGTACAATTGGACGCCTTGAAGATTTGCCCGTGCTCCGGACAGGAATCGATAGCTGCAATGACGTCATCACCACATGCAACGTATTGATCGTATCTGTACGGATGTTTAAAGTTGCACCCATGTGTTTTACCTTCACAGAACTCGCCTGTAAACAAAAACAAATGAAACTGTTCTAATAATAGGCTATGTAATGAAAAAAGCATACGCTATCATTTCTTTTAAAACTTACAGTGTATATAATTACAGAAACTTTGAAAACGATATCATTTTACATGTTAATAATTAATCACACATTTTAAATACACCCATTCATATTGTGTGTACAGATATTTAGATATACGCATGGGGTCAATATTGCATCCAAGATCTATGGTCATCGATGGATATGTACAAAAGATACAATGTAGCATTTTTTATATTCCAATGTTTACACAATCGAAGGGTTTTCTGCACCGGAGGACAAGTTGACTTTATTGTATGTTTATCAGTATTTGTGTTTACATGATAATACCAGATAGTATCCCTCATTACCAAACATAAATATAGTTCTGCCAATATCGCTCAAAACACGGTTTCCAAATAGACTTATACGTTTCCTTTAGTCGCCTCATTGATCAGGGCCGCGATCGGCTGTGGTAATATAGGAGGGAGGTATATTTCTAGAGTAAAAACTCTACAATCAAAATACAATAAATTTTCTTTGCACTATGTCGATAACAATTGGCATTGGCAGGTTTGATAAAGGAGGTGCTTACATGTATATTAGTCTCTCGTAACAGTCACGTGACATATTATGTACATGTACATAAGCAATGATGCAAATAGCCCGTTGCAAATGCACGATGAGTTATATGAAAGAAAGAGGCACAGAGGGCCTGTATCGCTCAATTGGATATCTAAGAAATCATGGTTAAATATCTCCAAATAATATATCAGGGATAGGGCCAGACCCCAAGGCCAATCCTTATCGTATCTGTATTTGATTTGTCATGCCCAGCAATTGTATGTATGTTTACGGGTGGAGATTTCAACTGTTTCCAAGTTGTGACTCAGAAACTAGGTCCCTAGGGTTGTGGCCAGAACCCAAGGGTCAATATTTATATCATGACTTCATTCGTCTCTTTATGTCAAGCAATTGTATATCTGGTTATCCGGTTCGGATCTCAAATGTTTCAGAGTTGTGACTGAGAAACAAGGTCCCTAGGGGTGTGGCCAGACCCAAGGGTCAATGCATTCATCTCTTAATACTCAGCAATTGTAAATATGGTTATATGGTGGGGATCTTAACCATTTTAATTCAAGTTAACTTTTTTTGGCCCCACCCCCTAGCCTGAAGAGTCAGCCTGTCCATTATTCATCCCCAACACAGTTGTGCATCCCCACCACATAGGAATGCTTCTAACCAAATATTGTTGATATTTATCTCTTATTTCCAGGGAGGAAGACGCTTTAAACAAAATTGCCAAATCATCCCTATTGGCCCCACCCCTCAGCCCCCTGGGGTGTCAGCTCCACCTATTGTATAATGTTGAATCCCCGCCACCTAAGGATGCTTCCAACAAAATATTGTTGATATCTGTCTCTTATTTCCAGAGAAGAAGACGATTAAAGCAATATATAGCCAAATAACCCCTTTTGGCTCCAACCATCAGCACCCCCCCCCCCCCNCCCCCGCTGGAGACCAGCCCAATAGGAAATTTTACTTGTATGAAAAAAACATATAGCCCTAACTGCATGCTTTTCGTAGTCAATATTGCCATACACTTTTATGCATTTTTGTATTTACTTTTATTAAATCTGAAATCTCAGAAATAATAGCTATGTAAAGTTGGATAAAGCTATACAGGTTTTTAAGCTATGTAGCGCATCGGCTAGTGTACTGGACATGATAAAGGTAAATACAATTCACAAAAAAACCTTACCTGGGATGACAAGCACAGTCACTGTTTCTGTAAGAAATCTTAAACCACCATCATCGTCAGTGAAAGATATGGTTAATTTTAGACCTGTCCCGTTGTCCCGCAACGTTACTACATCTAAGTGGTATTCTTTAACGATGGACATCTCGCCAGTCTCGTTGCTCACTTGGTAACCACCAAAGATGTCGTCAGCCTGTGACAGGTCATGTTTTCCATTAATTGTTAATTTGACATTTTGAATTGTTGGCCTACATCCCAAACTTGCAGCGAATATTATAACTTTATCCTCTGCGTTCTCTTGAAAAGAGCCACCGGTTGTTGAGATGCGGTATTGATTTGCTAAAGAAAGAAAGAAAAAGAACCATAACTGTTTCATGTCATTTGATTAAATCATTTGCCCTTTTCCCGATCCATTATATTTTTTTTAGATTACGCAGCATCATTTGTATAAAAGAAAGTTGACGATGACAACCGACATCGGCAGATGTTTTAATCATATTCTCAATTAATGAATAAAAGTATCATGTTTAAAAGTCACATCTATGTTTTTATATACGAACAGTTGTGTATATAATATCATTCTATGTAATCGAATTCAGCGGGGAATTAAATAATATTAACAAAGGAAGCTTACCTTTGACTCGCATTCTTGTCGAGATATCCAGCAGATCGACTCCATTATCATTTTGCACGGTTATTGCCAACGTTTTGTTGTGGTCCGGACAGACGGTACCCTTCTTCACATATACCAGTTCCAAGACGTTCAGTTTTAAATCAAAGATGAAGTATTCAGAGGAATTACCAATTTCGACTCTACTGCCTGTCTGAAGACGTTCATTTTCTGATTTTCCGGACATTATCACAGTGACGGTTTGTGCGCCATCTGCTATGCAATATATACCTTTAAGGACCAATCTGGCTCCAACAGACGAGACGGAAGTAGTTGGTAATAGAATAAGATTTGGTCCATCTGGAGTATATTAATAACAAACCAATGTTATACATGTCCGATTTTAATACTTCAACTCAAAAATTAAAAATCATCTGGCGTTTACAGCGCAGCTTAATACATGTAGGATTTTCAAAAATATAATCAGTAATTAAAATCAATGTTCTACATAAAAAAGTTCGAAATAAAAGGAAATTTAATATTTTGTTTAAGTTTTTCAAACAGCTTACCAAAATATCACTTCAAATTATGACATTGCAAATATTGAAAAATTGATACTTATTTTATAATGGAAATGGAGCATTACATAAAAAAGGTAGGAAGAGAAAAATCTATACCGTTAACTTGTGTCTTTATCTCAAATGCGCCCTGTTCTGTCCTGATGACAAATTTACCACCGTCAAAGCAGGTACCTGGGGATAATCGAATTTCGACTTCAACAATTTTTCCAGAACCAGTTTTACTGACGGAAAAGGTGATTCTGGAATCTGTTGAATCACTAGTTGGAAACTCCAATTTGCTATGTTCTTTTTCCAGAACTAAAACGTCGTGTTCATCAATGGTCACGTGACGTACGATTGTGGCGTTCTGTCCGTGACTGATAACGGCATCGGGACTAACCGGTTCTGAAAATCAACAACAAAATGCACAAAATGCAGTTATTTGAACTGAATAAACAAAAAAAAATTCAATAAGAATTATGATGCCTAATTTACTTAAAATCATATTTTGGGACTTTCAAGTCAATAGTGCATAGTTAAAATGGCAAATCAGAAAAATAGTTGTAGCTTATATAAAAACTACCAGAAATAAAAAGAAGGCTTCTAATTTTAAAAAAAAGAAAAGAAAAATGGTTTGTCGAAGCAGAAATCCAAACAAAGAAACTATTTGTTTGCACCATATGGATATACATATGTATCGTGTATTTTAGAATTCTCATTAGTTGGAAAATTCAAAAGTTTGGAATTTCACACTTAAAACATATGTAGAAATAAGGCAAAGAGAGAAAGTTGGGCAAGGTAAAGTTTGTTTTTATTCGTTTTTCGTGATTCATTATTCAATAACGAATAAGGTACTTACTTTACCTTTACTTTCCAAAGGCAAGGTAAATTAGGTTCCTTATTCGTTATTTATCATTCATTATTCAATTAAAAAGAACTTTCCTTGCCCAGAGTGCCTTATCCGTTATTCAGTGAAACCTATAACGATAAATGATGTTAACAAAGAAATCACACACTGACGTTCAAATGTTTTTAAAACCGATATGCAACAGTTCACATTTCCGTTTTTTTCCAAAACAAAAAATGATTTATCGCCAAATAACATGTAACTGGACAGGTACACCTGCAGCTTGTTTTAGCTTCAATATATAAATCAGAAAGCTCCTTTTTTAAACAAATAATTTGCCGAATCATAAAGTCAAACAAAGTTACTTTTACATGTTTATATTATTTATATATTAGAATATATATTATCAACTGTAGATAAAACGTGTACATTTGTAACGTTAAAGTGGTCAAATAGGCGCATTTCCGTTCCGCTTCATTTTTACATAGATTTCAGAATACTTCAGACTTCGATTTTCATTCTTTTGACATCAAGTACCTCTGACGAATCTTTTATGAACGAAATAGTCATGTAGTGCAGTTCAATATCCATTCTACATCGGAAAACTATTTCAATAGAAGGTTCATTGCTTTGTGTTTACATTTATTATTAAAAACAAAAACAAAACAAAAACACAATAACATAGAGATTACCCAATGAGTTTCGGTAGGTTATCATGTTATCCAACTTGACTTAGCTAATGTTAAAATCAGAAAAAGACATGGAGTTAACCGAGTCTTTTACAATGGAAAATTACCTAACGAGTGTTAGATGCACATAATAATCATCCATCCTAAGTTGAGGGATCGTTTTTTCCCAGATAATTCAAATACAATATCTAGAAAACCATGTGTTTCTTCGGAGAATACATTGTTGACATAGCTTATGACGCCACAATGTAAGATGCTGCTGCAGAGCGTTGTTTCTTAACGTCACATTAAGGAAATTGACCAATATCCAAAGTGTTAACCAGATATAATTACATACTCTTAGCAGATTTAGCCTATGAGGCGTGGTGAGAAAACCTTGAATGGTTGAGGGAGAAACAGTATTCCATATCTCCTAATAATTCTACTTTCACTTTTCATGTTTACCTTTGTATTTGGCATCTGCTGAATTTATTGTCACCGATGACTCAGTAGTTGACGACATGGAAGCGCACTGGATATATTGAGCGTTCTCAAAACTATCTTGGGTCATTGTTATGGTGCACGTGTTAAGACCGTCTGTTGTTCCTTCATGTGTACACGACATTGGTTTCTGTATGTTGCTGTATCCGGGTACCATCAATTTGGCAGTTGTAACCACTGCATCGCAATGCGCAACAGCGCATATGAGTAGGACATAGTCTCGTCCATCTGTTAGGTTTCTGTATACCACCGGTTCAATATTTACAGGATCATCGAGCCCTTAAACAGACAGATTTGTTTTTTTCAATAAGCGGAATTGTAAAGGATGTTAATCCATTTGTTAAATCAAATACATAAAAGACAACAGTGAAAATATCACAAAGTTTATTATAATATACAATGCAATATTATATTTGTCTGTAATATGTAATGCATGCATCATAGCTCTTTGTTAGTGACTAAATATGTAGAACATCGCCACAGTTCTGTGTCTGTAATATATCAAACGTGCACCGACTTTTCACTGTTATGTTTAATGCATGCATTACAGCATTTTGTCTGTATTTTGTTATGCATGCACCACATAATTTTGTCTACTATGTAATGCTTCCATTATAAAATTTTGTCTTTAATGTATTATGCGTGCACTAAAAGCATTTTGTTTTTATTCATATGTTATTTGATATATTTTTTATGATTTAACAAGTATTATCATCCGATCGTGTGATGTGACTTTACGAAGAACTGATAAGGTCAGAAAATAAAGGTCAAAATACATACCTTGTTTTTCAATGTTTATGGGGGGAAGTCTCTGTAAAATCTTTTCACTAGCATTTCGGAGGACGACTGGAAAGATTCCTACCTTGTAACAGACGCTTGTATTTGGGTTTGAATAATACAAATCACCATCTTTCACATAAAAATGAATGTCATTCACGGTCGTGTCGGTAGTTTCGTTGAGGGGTATGACGATTTCTCCGTCGCCTTCACTAACATATTTACTTGCATTTAGGAGAACCGCCTCCACGTGTTTTCCTGATATTGGACACCTGGTTTCCCCTTCTGGAGTAACAGTGCAGTCTGAAATATATTAAAAATCAAATAAACCTTCCTTTTTAAGGGACATTTCTAATTTCTGCATCTATTTCTGCTAAGTCACGAGTCACGCGTGCTGATAGACTTGTGCACATGCGTTTATCGATTGATGCATATGGACATGTCCTTATCCTATGACATCACCAATATTCTGCATCCCTCGTATATTTCATTTTGACGCATTATCAAAAGCTACATTCGTACTACAATAAATATGCTTCGTAATATCTTATATATGTCTGACGTCATAATTTGGTCAAATTTACTTCATTGTGTTGCATTGGTGACAAAAGATAATGACATGTAAGTCCAGACATTAGCCAGGTAAAATGTTTTTTTAAATAGCTAAATACACATGTACAATAAACAAGTAAACAAATTAAAATACAACCAAGGCAACACAGTTACCAGCGACGTCCCCATGTCTTCTCCTTTTTACGGTGGTAGGAAATTGACAACCTCTAGCTTCGTTTCACTGACTAAACGTGCACCTTAAGTCCTACTCCCATGAAACAGTAAAATTTGATCACTATCAAATGCCATAACAGTGAAGCAGTCAGCTGTGCATGCAAGACAAAAATGACTTTAATTAACTCATTTAGATGATTGTATGGAACCTCATTGTAACGGATTTATATCATTACAGTATTGGCGGTCTTGTTTCTCTACAACAATGTATTTTGAAATTCAAAAGTGTAATTGAAAAACCATGCGGGTATAATCCTGAACACAACAAAATATTTAGATTCAAAAGCCAAGTGGAGTAACATTTTACAATGCACAATATAGTCGTATCGTAGGTGGAACCAAAGCTTAAAAGAACAAGGCGAAGTATTGCAAGGCAATCCATAGTACCCAATCCGTAATGATTTCTATATTGAACAAATATTACACTTATGTCAGGATGTACCGACTGTTAGGAAAGTATCCTGATACATACTTCTTGCACTCCGCCATCCCAAGAGGTCCTTGCACACCAAATCTGGTTACTCCAAGTGAACTAGTATAGAAGATATGCCCAGGACAATTTCATTTCAAAAGTAAAGGTACAAGGTCAATTCATACGTCACAGTGACATTATCCTTGTGCACTGTACTCCGCCATCCCAATATGTCCTCGTACACCAAATCTGGTTACTCCAAGTGAACTTATATAGAAGATATGCCCAGGACAATTTCATTTCAAAAGTAAAGGTCAAAGGTCAATTCATACGTCACAGTGACATTATTCTTGTACACTGCACTCCGCCATCCCAAGATGTCCTCGTACACCAAATCTGGTTACTCTAGTTGAAATAGTACAGAAGATATACACCGGACAAACTTTTTCAAAACTTGAGATCAAAGGTCAAGTCATAGGTCATTGTTACCTTATTCTAGCACTCTGCACTCCGCCAACACAAGATGTGATTGTACATCAAATCTCGTTACTCCAGGTGAAGTAGTACAGAAGATACATGTATGCCCCGGACAACCCTTTTTTTAAACGTAAGGTCAAAGGTCAAATCATAGATCACAGTGAAGTCAAAGTGACCTGCTACTGGCACTCTGCACTCCGCCTTCCCAAGATGTCCTTGTACACCAAATTTGGTAACTCCAGGTGAAATAGTATAGACGATATGTCCAGGACAAACTTCCCGGATGGACGGACGGACGGGCGGACGGACGGAGTGCAATTGTGTTATGTTTATGATCCTAGTATAATAGAAGTGAATGTGAAAAAACCCATATCAGAATTTAATAGAAACTTGGGATTACGAACAAGTAATTGAGTAAGCGATGCAGGTTTTATTAGCTTTATCCATGAATGAGTTTTAAAGTAAGATAAATACCCCCTCAATCTCCCCCCTCCTCCGATTTGACCGATTTCTCTCTTTTTGATGATTAGCTTGTTTTGTCAGAATATACCTCTGGGTTGTTCGGCAGCTCCGGATGTTGCAATTGAAACTGTTACAGAGATGACAATGGCTACTAAAAACCCTGCCACTACCATCAAGCAAAATAACGGTTTCTGTAAAAAGAACGTAGAAAATAGCATGCTTTGTATCAGACAGTGCAGTCAGTGTACATTCATAAATATCTAACGTTAAAGCGCGTACTACATTAATGATAAACATGCAGATTATATTTATATCATGCACTGAAAATTGACATTGAAATTAATTCTGAACATGCACCACTATCACTGATTTGTCATTATATTGTCTTAATTACACATGCTACCAGATATACACGAATGTGCTACAATGATTATGAAGGGAGGTAATATTAGAAATACACTTACCTTGGATCTCCGACTCAGGTTCTTTTTACCCTGTGTAAAAAACAACGAAAACAATTATTTTAGGAAGTGACATTTAAAATGTACCCTTTCTTGAAGTAAAAAATATAAAATACCAATGAAAAAATCTTCATTGGTAATAACAATTATTATTTGTATTTAACAAAAAATTCCACGTGGATGATCAGACCACCAATCAAATAGAATGTCTAACAAAAAACCACACCCTCCTGATAGTGCATATGATTACATTGCATGAAACTGACATTCATAGATTGCTATGACAATGTAAACATATGGAACACTAATTCCGCTACCCCTCCACAACCACTCTTCTCGATAAAATAAATATACCTGTGATAATCTCATCGATATAAAATCATAAAGAGTATTCCAACATATAGTGTTTTCCCTTAAGGATCACTGTCCCACTGAACTGTAGATTTTCGGATTTACAGTTACCTCCCCTTATTTTTGTTTTGTTATAACTGTAACACATATATGCCATACCACATCTGGTAACCAGGTAATATACGCTCACTCGATTAGACTGATAGTACAACGCTCTGAAGTGACCAGGGTTTGCATCTCGATCTATCATTCCTGAATCTTTAATACGNGGGGGCAGGGCGGGCCTTCATTCCTTTTCGTCATGTATGTCTTCCTATCAAGAAAGGCTTTCTATTTTAAAGCTATGTATATGCCGTTTTCCTTGACGTAGTTAAAGTATTTGGCAGTGGTCTTGGATCCTTAATTACCTTATATATTTTAGGTTTTAGAGTATCTATAACGACGAAAATGATGCTGATTTTAAAAAGTATAGGAATTAAGAACCCAATATGTTACGACAATTTCTAATGACTTCACAATTTACGAAAAGGAATTGCGTCAGTTTGAATTTTTCTGCTAGTTTCTGCTTATCAATGTTGTTAATTGTATAGCTAATTAAATATCATAATGTATATAGCAGATATGTACAAAACCAGTCACGTATTCTACCGTTTTTCCGTTGATAACTGACTAGAAAATCGGCAGCTGTGAATGAAGTTAATAGAAAAATTCCTTTTTGTTTGTTCACCTTACACTGTTTTCAATTTTGATATATGTCCCAGAGTAAAGACAAATGTCTTATCAAGTTCATACATGTAGAATCCATGATCTCTTAAGCAAAACTGTAATAAGTTATATTTTTTTCTATTTTGAATTAGTGCATTATATGATTGCGTAGTGTGTGAGAAGTTCCAAAAATTGTTACTTACTCTCAAAGTGGTTTCTTTGGTGTCTGTTGGCTGCATATTTTTGGGAGGCTACAATACAAAATGATGGGATTTTAGTGAAATAGTAAAGATAAGTGTTACCATAAACTATGTATAAAAAGATACATCCGGATATCAATATAATAAAAGTGCCAACTGTGGTTAAGATGGTTTTAAACATTTTACTACAGTGTCTTTTAGTAAGTATGCAAAATTTTGAAAAAACAATGTGTGTTTCTAACAATCGAAACTTCCTTAATTTCGTCATCTGTTATCATCATTCAGCGTCACAAACCTTTCTCTTCGTCGCCATTGTCTTACATTTGATGTAACAAAGGATGATATTATATTAGGTACAGTATAATACACAACCACGTGATATTGCTTTATTTTCGTTCTTGTGTTTTTTCAGTAGTATTATATTTCCTAACTTTTCATATCGTTCATCTGTTCGATGTAAATTATCACACTCTGATTTTGCTGAGAAAATGTCTTCAACTTCAAACACAATCAGTCTGAATTATTTTAAGAGCTACTGGTTAGTTGGTCCTAACTGCTTGTCTTCCTCAGAAACTCTACTGGCTACCAATCCTAGATTACTTCAGTTGAGGAAAACGTGTTTTAAATCATGATAATTTGCCCATCTAGCTCTGCTACTTGTTACATTTGTATATTACGTAAGAACAAGTCCTTACTAAGAATATAAGATACAAGATATGTTACTGTAAACAGACTTTATGTACCAAATTTTAAAATTATATTCATATAGAAATTGCTCACCCTGTATAAATAAAGATATTACTGTAATCATATTATTTTATTATAAGAAGATCTTGGTATAGTTTTAGATTAATATCTTGATATATGTGTCCTTAAAAGTTTAGTATTATTTCATTAGTCCTACAGTGTAATATGTTATTGTCATATTTTAGCATGATTTAACAAACCCTTTTCATTAAAATCAAAAAACAAATACGACAATGTTAGAAACACATGATGATAGTTGCTCATTGCAAGAGGTGTTTTAAATAATGAAAATCATTCATGTGCATATATTTGAATATATGAGATACAAATAGTTACAACTTACAATCGCTTCGCCTCCAGTTATATATAGTGACGAAGAGTCGGGACTGTCCTGCAGAAAAGATTTTTTTATATTTTTTTGAAAGAATGTTATATTTGTCACTTCGTAAAGTACATCATTTTAATACTACCCGAAAGATTATAATAATATAACTAGTGTGGCTGATTGTGCACTGTCCGCAAAACGAAGACTGCAGATGGCTGTTGAGATTATTTTGGAGGGAATGCAAAACATTATTAAGGTTTATACATCAAATTCATTCAATAAAGATGTCTGAAGCACTTTAAATAGCATCATTATTAATAATAAAAAAAAAAAAAAATGTAATCCAACTTAAGAGTAAATGAAATATTCTTTGGTCTAATTCTGATAATTTGATATGTCTATAAACCAATGCAATCGCCTAGCAGAAGTAGTTTTAAAACAACAATTCCGTAAATAAAAGAGGCATTTTGGCGTGGTCTTCTAATAGTAGTCCCACGTTTAGGTCCTGCGTAATGATATCATAGTATTTATTTTTAAATATCATCCTCAAAACACCATTCCTCACACAGCGTGTTGCCCATACAAACCTATGACGAAAATGTGTATGCAAGGGGAGCTTAATCTAGGTAGAATATGTATTTAAGTACATTTTGAATTATACATATTGGATGCATCTTATCTCGTTATTATGCATGAAATATACATAAGATGCAGAAAACATTTACCGATTGTGAATTTTCAGGTTGATTCTCTTCAAGCTGAAACACCGGATTGCGATATGCAAACATTGGATATGCTCCCTTCCTTATCTATATAAACAAAACGAAAACACACCAATGTTAACAGAGAAACCTCGATAACCAAGCTATATTTATTTCAACCAGAATTTTCCAGATTTGTCGACAAAATGTTTGCATGAAAAATATCGAATGTATTCCTTAAAATCCTGACTTCATAGTGAGACGAATTACCAAATAATTATCCAGTGTGGCTGGTGTTCAAGTAATTTTTTATGTAAAACATATCACATACGACACCCATTATGTCTTCTTTTTGAACATTTAGGACAGGGTGTATCAGATGAAAGGTTACCCGGGAGCGTCCCATCAGGTGCCTCGCTAGCGGTCCTACATTTTCTGAACACCGAGTCATCTCGGAATTATCCCCATAAATAAACCCTTGGATAATATAGCAGTCTTGGGATATTTAATGTGACTTAGGCTTGTGGATGTAGTTTTCCTTACCACAAAGTTACATGTGCGTGTAGGACATCTCGGGATACTCATGGCACGATTAAGTAGAATGTTTTTATACCGGGTACCAGACCACAGTTCCCTCCGACCCGTCACCTATCTCCGATATCTTCCGTACATACTCATCACTCGAAAGATTGAAAACCTTACTGTCTATAAAGTCAATATACTCTACATTATGTGACAGGCCTTGGCTTGATAGTGGGGATTGTATCAGAGAATTTGTCTGTGAAACATAAAGCATCAATTCGTTATAACCATCTTGGGTTGGGGATACCTCAGGTGAGTATCACTCATTACGGGTTGGTTACTTACGGTTAGAGTCGGTTTTACAATCGTTTCTTGATCATCCTCTTCTACAGAAGGCTGAAAATCACAATCAGTATAGAGACTTTGACCATTATCGCCTGCATTGCAGTTTTTTTTTATAAAACGAGAACTTTGGAGCCTAATATTCTGACCCCGTGTACCTGAGGTCTACTGCTAAATATATATACATACACGCAATAAATTCTTTCTAAAAGCAAAATATTTAAAAAATATCATCCTCACAACACCATGCCTCACAAAGCATGTTAGCCAAAACAAACTTTTGAGGAAAACATTGATGAAAGGGGAGCTAAATCTAGGTAGAAAATGGATTTAAATAGCATTTAATCTCGTTATTATGCATGGGTGTACATAGAATGCCCAAATCACTTACTGAGTCTGAACTGTCAAGTTGATTCTCTCTATGATAAACCGTTGGGTTGCTGTTTGTTAACGACGAAGATAATGCATGCTCTATCTATATAATAAACCACATAGAGATAAAACATGTAAACAGAGGAACCTCGAAAACCCAGCTATATTTCCTTCCACTAGATAGTCCGGATTTTACGACGAAATGTTTGTGTATACTGACTAAATAGTGAGACAAACAGATTGAAACACTCATTGTTAACGCATATCTTTAGGTAGCATACTGTATTCAAATCATACACAAACAACTTTATAGTTGGAAATATAATCTGTAAACGTGAAATCAATAATGAGAAGATACACTTTCACAGTAGTCAAACCAACCATTCACAGTTAAATAAGTTCTTTAAGTTCCATGTAATGTATGTGCGAATGTATTGCTTCTGTTGTTGAGTCATGTGACCTTTCAGTTGTGACGTACCATTGTTGGAATTTATTCTAGCATGGTTAATAGGAAATACTAGTGTAAGAATGAAGTACATTTGTATCTGTTGTAAAACAAATTTATGAATAAGTAACAGTAAAATACGCGTTTATAAACACATGTCCCTGTTGACTTACGAAATGGAGTACACGTTTGCTTTGGTTAAAAAATTTAATCTTCAAACAAGATATTTAAAAAGGTGTTTCGTTTCTTCCTATTTCTTGTAAAAAAAAGTTCAATTTGTTATTCAAATAAGTTTTTTTAACAGTTTAGTCCCAACCCAAGTTTGAATGAAAATATTGCTTAATTAAAATAACTGAAATCATAGATGTGCACAGCACACACGATATAAGTAATGTACAAATATCGCATTTGTCATGGTCTCAATATAAGCAGTATGAGGACCAATACGTCCTTCGTAAATACACTTACAGTGTAATAGGCCTAAAAAGTGAATAATATAAGTTTGATTAACTTATTGCAATGTATAATCACACAATGGCGGTTTTATGAACGTGATGGAAATGTATAGACGTTGTTAAAGAAATTGACTTTAACACAAGTTAAAGGAACAAATATACATTATAATTGCATTTTATTAAATTGTTTGTCATTTCAATTTTCTTGACATCAGCTCTCGTTGATATTCTGTTGTATATGTTATGAAAATCGAATTCCGAAGAAAAAAAATAAAACATGAAAGCATACCTCATGGTTTGACACATTAGGAGGATCGCTTGAGCCGGCAGGTGATTTAGTCTATAAGCATAAGGTATACATGGAAGTTTTGATCAATCTGTACGTTTGCTCCACATGTTAATAAAGAATTATTAACGCCGGTTCTGCTATTTAATGAAAGTAAAACGAAAGCAAGCACGCACTAACACATGGTATCGAGCAAGATTCACTTAAACCATTATAATTTTTTTACCAAAACTGTATAATAGTAAATCCTAAAGTCGCATGCTACATTTTATGTAACTGTAGCAAACATATACGAACCAGCCTTCGTGTATCAAACTGAATCTGCATGACGTGTCCAATGTACCAAACTTACTATTAATAAAGTTTAGTATATTAAACTTACAGTGAATAGCGAAAAATGTAACCTACATGTAGTACAGGTGTAAAAGTAATCTCTTTCATTAGTGGAACGAAAAGACGTATTTTACAAATTGAAAGTGTATGTTGTATCAGATTACTTAAATAATGGTGTTGAAAATACTAAACCTGATATACGTTGTTTACGTACTTGAATTATTTTCGGATCAGTTTCACTATTCTGAAATATAAACATATCTTTAATGAATACATTTATTCAAGCCTCATCAAAGTTGAGACAAGAATGGCAACATTGTCGTGAACGATTCATCGCATTTTAAAATTACTTATCGAAAAGTCATATACAATAAAATAAAGATTATTTAAAATGCTAAACAAATACATCAGAAAAAAGGTTACTTGTATCACCAGATTTGAAAAAATAGTAATGCAATATCAGCAATTTTATAATAGCTTTGTGATTAAATATATTGTCTTCCTCGGCATAGTTGATGTTCCCCTTTGCAAACGTATTGTTTATCAAAAACTAATATTATGGACTTTGCGAATTGATGAGTATCATATTTTCTCCATTGACTAGACACAATGAAATTGGAATTAACTTTGAAGTAAATTATACAAACGTTTGATTTGAGACTGTGGATACCCTGTAAAAAAAAAAATAAATAAATAAAAATAAAAAAAAAAACAGTTCATGTACAACGATATTTTACGTCAAAAATCCTAAATCAATCTAGTAGAATTTATAAGTAAATATACTCTGATAGGCGACCAAAATCCGGGAGAGAAGCATAAAAGTATATAAGCCATAATGTCATATATCTTAAAACAAAATAATATCATAATATATTGACCATTATACATTATTTATGTTCGTTTATTAATTTATTAATTGCAGAATTTAAGAAAACAAAATATTCCCCCACTTTTGCTTTCATATGCAGCTTAATTAATTGATGAGCTTATTAAGAAATCAAAACATTCATTGACAACATCGATCGTATATACTCTCCTGAGCTTGAAATCAAGGAAATCACCGATTATTCAACTGATGACGCTTTCCGCGATCTTAGTGTACTTACAACGCACTGTATGAGAAGCGGGACGATTTCGAATTGGTAAACTTCTCCTTTCTGAAAAGTATAACTTCTTCTTCCCACGGTGTTTACGTGTCGCAGTTGATTCGGTACTCAAGAGCTTGCTCCGTATATCTTGATATAACAACACAGGGTTTCCAAAGATGCCGGTTTAGAAAGATTTTGGAAAAGTTTTATGGTCGCCATGAGGATCCCGAAGGGATATTTGATATTTTGTTGAGTGATATGAAGTTCGATGTTTTGGATTTTGCTTATTAGTGTGTCCTGTTATTTTGCTGTCACTGTCCGATTTGGTGTGACATTATTTAGATTCGACTAAGATTTACATTGCGGGAGTCATCGACAAAACAAAGACGCTTAACCTTCCGGAACGCCTTTGTCTCATTCTCCTTGCACATTTTTAAGTGTCTCCGTTAAATCTTACCTTAATCAATAATTTGCTCTAGTTTTCTTGATTTTCAGCTCGATTTATGGTTTTAGTGACACTTCAGTATTATATTGCAAGACAAAGATGACAGATAAAACAGTTCAATGCGTTGTCATTTAGAGGTAGTTGACGATAATGGTTTTGCAAAGATTGATGAAATATTTATCCACTTTTTCGGTGATCTCATCCCGAGGGGAAAGACTCTGAAGTTGCCAAACACAGATGCAAGCTGGGTGTTGGCAACTCAAGACAATGCTATCTTTTACATGTAATCCTATGTGATGTAAACAGATAAATCGCAACCCGATGGTTAGAATTTTGAAATAGTACACAAAGTTAAACTTCAAAGTTCTTATCCCGAGGGTTGAGAGTCTGTCTGCATCAGAAAGGAATTGGTTTAATCCCACAATTTTCTACCGTAAAAATACGATTGGTGTATCCAATGCATTGCGTAATCATCAAGTGACAAAATTAATGTCGCTTCCCTGGTTTCACTGCATTAGGTAATAACGCGATAGTGATGTTTTGGCGTACGTGAGTTGTTTCTCCTAAGTTGGTAAAGAAGGTTTATCTTTCCCTTACAAAGAACGGAAAAGCACGTGCGAAGGGCGGGAGAATAATAAAATCACTCACCCCTTTGGGGTTGAGATAGGGGAATCTCAACCCGAGGGGGAAGATTCTTAAGTTTCCAAACACGAGGCTTTGCCAAGTGTTTGGCAACTTAAGAATCTTACCCCGAGGGTTGAGACTTCCCATTCTCATTTTCAAGGAGTTGAATGATTCTTTTCCTCTTATCCAGTTCACCTATCATGTATCATATATAATGTTTACGTTACAGACTAAATTCAGGGTTGACGTGACGTTATTGTATTGTTGACGTGACGGCATAGCATTGTTATGAATAAGGAAATTCCCCCGTCTCAACCCTAGGGTGAGAAAAGGATATCACACACCGGTTAAAGTGTGGATACACCTGTCCAGGGTAAGAGAAAAATATATCTAACACTGGAAAACGTATGGAAATACCTGTCCAGTGTCATATACATTTTAGTCTTCAGCTGAATCTGTTGATTGCATACTGTATTGGTTATATTTTGTGTCAATTGCACTCACCTCATCGCTGCTGATGCTAGTATTACCGTCCCCATTGTTTTGCTGGTGCTGTATTGATAAAAAGTATCAAAAGATAGACACAATACAATGAATTCAAATCAATAATCCTTTTTGACATCTGTAGAAGCAATTGAATACGAATCTATGCATCTAACTATTTGATTGTATTTCTCTGGAAATTTTACCAATGCTTGTTCAACATATGGTTTTTAAGATAAAGTCCGTCCAGTAAAATATAAAAACAAAAAAATGGTATTTTCGCCTTAATGGTGTTGGTATTGTGGCGAAGTCTTTCAACCATATGAGGGTTTTTGTATTATAAAACTATGTGATATGCAATATTAAAGTTAACGGTTTTGATTTTCAATCTAAATCAATTAGGCCTGTTTTGTGCTGAGTTACGATAAATGGATGAAACATATAGCATACTAATATGTTGTTTGATCCTTTTAGATATACATTTTTACTTTATAAAATCGAACAAAAATCCGTTTTCAGAATTGATTACCTCATTGATAGCATTGATTTCCAGCTGGACATCCTGCTGTTAAAAAACCCAAAATGATATGAAAATTCCATCAATTTATTTATCATAAGGGAGCAATTTACCTTTAACATTTCAATTAAATGCACTGTCGTGGTGTTTATGTTGAATAACAGCAGCTTTGTATAATGAAATATAATGATATATATGTTTCATTTTCAAACATTCGGCAAATTGAAATTGCTTAATTCAAAGCTGTTCAAATATGTCTTAAATCGTTGTTTTCACCTCTTTTCACGGTCAGATTGTCAATTGCTGTGTCAAAATGGAGAACATATTAGACTAAATATGAAAATAAAAAATGTTACAATTATAATTTAATAGTTGTAATTAAGATATACTCTGCACATTAGTATGTGTATAATGTAGACATACTTGATACCTACTACATGTATCTAATTTGAAGCGATATATGTGTATTATGTTCACTCAATATTTCGGATAACGTCAATAGTTTGGAAATAATATGAATAAAAGCAAGAAATATAGCGCCTACCTAAGGTTAAGCAAAGGGATTTTATCCATCACAGTAATTCATTGAGCGAAAAAGCCAAGGTAATGACTAACATATTCTATATGGATGAACGTTAGACTGACGTTGGTGATTGGATCTTTTAAAATATGCTAATATATACGCTATGTCAAATAGGAATATCACAGCACTATGCAGATGTGTCTAGCACTCATATGTGATCCTTGGGGCCAAAGAGACAGAAATGTATTTTGGTCATAGCAATGGAAGGGGATGTGCAAAACAAAACCCACTAATTATATCAATTTCAATAATTAGATCGAATGTAGTTAGTTTTAAATTACATTTAAACAATGAGCTATGTGTGTTTATTATAAACGTTGCGACTGCTCAGGAGGGATTATTCTAGGTTTGTTTGGTTGCGGCAAATACCTGGTACCAATACGTCCACCAGTACAGCTCATCACCTTGTATCTTTAAAGATGAATATAAGACAAACACAGGTAATATTTTTCAATTGTTTGTTTGTTTCTTTCTTTGTTTTTCCGTATTTGTATACCTCATAAACTTCAGCAGGGCTCCAGCGGGGAATACTGTCCTCCTTTTCGCTGTTATAGACCCCTAGCTGCTGCGGAACATGTAACATAACAGGTACTTGATAATATGTGATAAAGAGTACGACGCATTTATTTGGATAGTTAACATTTAGGTATAGGCACGGGATCACTTTGTTCGGGTCGCTAACTTGTTCTGGTTTATCAGGATAATTTTGTCAGGTAAAAATTGTAAATCATATCTTTTCTAAAAAAAACATTTTTAACATTCAACATGTTCTCCAAAGAAGTAACTTTGTTTTCCATAACCATAATATTTTATAATTATGAAATTTCTACATATCATTTCTATTTTTCATTTTTTATTATCGATAACAGCATACATTTATGTAATGTCAACTGTTTCCTACGCACATGTGTCTACATGTACAAGACCTCTATATTTCAAGTAAGACATTGTATGTTTACAGAAATGTGTGTATAAATGAAATAAAAATGTGAGACAACATGGATATGCCATATTTATTTCATAAAAATGTTTGAACAGACGAGAAAAAGGTTAGTTCATATTGCAACGTCACAGCTATTTGCGGCTCCACATATATGTGAAATATTGTTTTTAGGACTGTGAGTACACAGCAGACAACGATGAAATGAACAACCTGAAGAATAAGCCATCTAGATTTCAATTTAATTATTATTTCGTTTTAATAACAGTTATCAGCTTACCTGTTCACTTTCACTGCTTAAACTCGAACCGTCTGAAATTCCATGTTCCTGTATCACAACAAGGCAGTCACATTCATTTCCATATAATTAAAAATATTGTTACATAACTGATAAATGATAAATAAATATATTATTTCTGTTACCTTATTGAGATGTATAGTCTTTTTGATATCTAAGATATACATATCCTTTATATAAAAAACACCTAGGATCACAATTGCAATGGCGCTGCTCTAAAATTTTCGTTGTTAGTATACGTATTGGTTTATTTAGCCCTGACACGTTTTGTGTTCTTATGGATGTAAACTGGTGATATTAGTTACATATTTATGAATAAATATAAAAGCGAATGCCTACCTCCGGTTTTAGGAACTCCATCCCCTTCTATAAAAAGTAAATAAAACATAAGTATAAATATTTTCTGCTTGGTCAATATACATAAGTACTTGTTATTCGTATTAAGGGAAATGTTGCACAATAGCAATGATGGACTTTTGTTGGAGTGAATTCGTTGAAATAACAATACACGAAAGAAATATTGACCAAGACAAAAGTCGAGATTCAATATCTCTTTCTAAATAACGTCATATTAAACGAACTGAATGTCTGTTCTTGTTACGTTACATATTACATGAAATTATATTGCTTTATCATGAAGCAAGATGGAACGTACGAAAATCGCCAAAACAAAATGCACAGAGCATCGAGGATTGTTGTTCGTTTCTAAATATTGTATATTTTGCATTGCATCGACTTATATAACGCTATTAAAACCATATTGTAATTACTTGAGGTATATGGATAACGTCTCGAAAAAGTCCCAATTATAGACGTCATCATTATATGACAGTTTGGTTACGTAGGTAGTTTACCCTTTTTGGAAGACGGCTCTATTTCAAGCAGGTTCTCCCTAGTGTCACGTCAGGTTCCGATCATGGCTGTTTTTTTATTACATCCAATTGTTATAATTCCTTTTGCAGTTCTTATCTGAGGTCAATCGATTGTTTATTAGACATACTTGATTACACCTGGAATATGAAATAAGCAAAACATGATTTTAATGTTAGAGGAAAAACTTGGTTTGTTTGAAGACAGGAGGAGGAATATTTTATCGTTTAAAGTTGATTTAGGAAAACGAGAACGGTAGTGGGATTCGGAGCTTTCCTATTTAACATATTGGCGACTACGACTAACGTATCAGATTCCAAAATGTAACCTAAATCAGAAGATGGTATCAACGAGCAAGATATGTGCTCATTTTGTTGAAATAACTGTGTTATGTGATATATACAATATCTAGAAAAATGTTTTTTTTACTAAAAAAAGTCTGCAGAAAACGATTCGTTGAAAAACACAAAATGTAAAATATTTTGTATTTAGAATCATTTTAAAGTATAGATACATAGAATTGAAGAAATATATAAAAGGCATAAGTCTCATATTAAAGTCCAAATATTTTTCAGTAGTGTTTTATTTGGAGTACATGTATTTGGTGCATTTCTAGACAGCATTCAAGTGTTAAGTATTAATTTCATCAGTACCGTCATTTCATCAAGACGTTTGTATTTCAAATAATAATGCTAAGGTTTGTTTGTTGCTTGTGTGTTTTATTATTGTTGTTTTTTCTTCTTAAATGACAAGCGAAATCCATCGAAATTTACGGTTTATTATATTGCGATGGACAGTTGAAAAAAAAAATTAAACAAACAAATCACAAATATCTATAATGTCATTAAATTATTGTAACAGTATAAAGATGTTGCCGTGGGAATTTAATTACACCAATATATAATTACTATGCATATTACCTCAATGACTAAGCACTAAAGTGCAAAACGGGTGTCTATATTTAAATCAAGTGAAATAGATATGGCCTACAAGGAAGTGGAATGAGCTTTGACATTGCCCGAGTAATATGATAGGGGATCGGTTGTCCTCGACTTGTTGACGACTTAAAAAGAACATTCGCAATATATATATATGGCAAATGGATGCCTTTACAAAGTATAGATTAAGCGAATATTTGTTTCACTGTTAGGGAAGGGAAGGAAAAGTTGCTTAAAGTTTATTAAAACTTACGTGATGAACATTTTTTTAAAAAGTGTTCTAAAACATATCATATACGTTACGTTGAAGAATATTGTTATGATAACCATGCTTACTGAATGTAAATCTTGCATGCTATCATATTAATACGGGTACTGCTGAACAGAAATAACACACTCTCCACACAATGTTGTGTCATACCATCACTTTGAGCCTTTTGTTACATTGAAACATACACTATCATGTCAAACTTAAATGGAATGATATATGTAATTTAAGGTTAAATACATACATGATGAGTATTCTATATACATATCAAATACCATCATGTATGTCTGTTTTTCATATAAGCCCTCATAACAATTTCATGAAGTATATTACATTTGTAACTATTGCATAATATGTAAGTTATCACAATCTATTCGGAGAAGGGATATATGCATTATATTGGGGTCCCTCTAGGAAAACAAATATTCTTTTTATGATGTGAAAGTAAAAATCCCCCTTTGTAAAAATGTTGACATTGTGATTCTTTGAACTGATGTGGAATTTATTGCATTGGGATTACATGCATTTTCTTTATCTATAAGTCATATACAAATTGGCAAATGGATAATTTTGCGGAAATCTAGCTTAATGCGAGAAACGTGGATATTTGCACACTGCATTAGTTTTAATTTCATAATATATTACTTTCGCTCATAGTGCTGTCGTGTCTTTAATTTGTTCCATTTCTTATTATTTTAAACCAAACCACATTCATTTCTACTATTATAGGGCCTGACCTTCGCCTTTCACATGTACAAATTATGTATGTATATTTGCATAAAATAATTCACAAATTTCGTATTTATCTCTTATCATTTACTCATGCGTTTGCGTAACATTATAAAAAGAAAACTAATTGTATTATCACAGATCGTGCAAGCATTAACCTTCATTAATGATAATGATTTTTTAATTAATTTGGTAGCATATCAATAACGTTAAAATTAGTTTCACTTATCAACAATGACTTTTAATAATATACATGTTTATTGTGCTTACAGGTATATGGAATCACGGGGAATTTGCAGGTACGATGTGTCAAGATATAATTGTTATACAAATGTGTATTATATATCATTATAATGCACATAAAGAAATAAAAACCGAAATTGAATAGACTATTATAATGATTACGTCACCATACACATTAAACCTATTACTTTTGACATCATAACTTTTATATATGTGTAGCTAAATTTTGTATGTGTAAACCGTGAAATTAATAATGAAAGCGCTAAAGCGTATATAGATATTATGTTTGTGATTATTTAACCTTCATATATCTACCAGACAATGAAAAGGATATACGTTGAAGTATAATATAACAGTAGTTAAATTATCTTTATGGAATCTTTTTGTTGCGATAAATGTTCTATGGACGTGGAATTTACTAAGCCTAATGTTCTATATCCAATTATCAATATTTATTTAGGTATAAACACTAACTTATCATAAGATATAAAGGAATTTCAAACTATTGAAATGATTAGAAATAATTATAAATTATAAATATTAGCAACAGAGACACAAACCAATTGCAACTTTTATTTTTGTACTGGATTCCAATAAAAAATTCTTCCCAGTTCATTACATAAATTCAACATTCTTTACATCAAAGAAAAGGTTGGTTTAATTTTTAATTTTCTTACTTAAGCATGATTAAACTTAGCTATACGTAATTTGAAGTTTATTTTTTTTTAGCAAAGAAACAAAAAATAATTAAGTCCAAATATGTCCTTTTGTCGAAATATCGAGAATATTTTTTTAAATTGTATTTCCCCTAACGCATTCATATGACTGATGTTTTGATATGTTGTCCATCAGTGTAACTTACTTTGCCGATTAATTATGGTATGAATTAGTATAATGTGTTCACAAAGGTGATAGAGGTCTACTTTTCATGTGCAGATATTATCGATGTCATCTGAATTTGTGTTTTGTATATTTTTGCCTAGCTTCCGTTACACCTACCTACAGTATATATTTTGTTCATGTGAATCTTTCAGGTTAGACTTTTGACAGATATTTAAAGTTTCCTATTTGTTGTATTCAATAAATATTTTGGACATTCTATATACATCTAAATAAGTGCATACCCCAATTTTATGCACTTATTCTACTAATGGCTTTCCACACAAAATTTAACATCTAACGGTTAGTTAGCATTACTTGAAGCAACATCACGGAGAAGTTATTTTGTTAGTGTCGTTTTTCCAAATTATGCATAAATATGTCAAAAGTATCTCCTAATGGAGATGACAGTCGAATTTTCTCTGAAATATATTAACAAGAGGCCCAAGGGCCTTAGCGGTCGCCTGAGTTATATCATAGGTACTGGTAGCTTTATTTTATTGTTTAGATGTGATGTGGAAATCAGCATGTAAACTAAGTGAAATACAATACTTGACATGTCATCAATGGATAAGAATTTGAAAATATTGGTAAATGTTCCCTTTGGGGCCCCGCCCTAGCCCCTCGGGATGGGGCAGGAATCCCAATTTTACAAAGTAATACTCTCATTAACCCAAGATGATTCTGACTAAGTTTGAGTAATTTTCTGCTGAAAATGAATAAAATATATACCGAAAAGTGTTATTTCCCTATATAAACTATATTAAACTTTACCCCCTCCCTAAGGGAGAACGGATGGCTCGGGGTCCTGAAATTTACAATTTAAATAAAGCCCCTGATGATTTTCTTTCCATGCAGAGAAAATGAATGTAGTACCTCTGAGTCTGGAAAAGAAGATTTTTGAAATATTGGTTAATTGTCCCTTTGGGGCCCTGCCCTGGCCCCAGGGGTTGGGGTAGCATTCTCAATTTTACAATTTGAAACCATCTTCCTCCAAGGATAATTCTCACCAAGTAAAAAAAAAAATCCTACAGAAAGTTGTCAAAATATACCCAAAAGTGTTATTTCCCTATATAAACTATAGTAAACTTTACCCCTCCCCAAGGGAGAACAAATAGCTCGGGGGTCCTGAAATTTACCATTTAAGTAAAGCCCCTGATGATCTTTCTTTTCACATAGAGAAAATCACTGTAGTACCTCTGAGTCTGTAGGAGAAGATTTTTGAAATATTGGTTAATTTTCCCTTTCGGGCCCCGCCCTGGCCCCAGGGGTTGGGGTAGGAATCTCAATTTTACAATTTGAAACCATCTTCCTCCAAGGATAATTCTCACCAAGTAAAAATAATTTCCTACAGAAAGTTGTCAAAATATACCCAAAAGTGTTATTTCCCTATATAAACTATAGTAAACTTTACCCCCTCCCCAAGGGAGAACGGATAGCTCGGGGGTCCTGAAATTTACAATTTAAGTAAAGCCCCTGATGATCTTTCTTTCCACGTAGAGAAAATCACTGTAGTACCTCTGAGTCTGGAGAAGAAGATTTTTGAAATATTGATTAATTTTCCCTTTGGGGCCCCGCCCTGGCCCCAGGGGTCGGGGTAGGAATCTCAATTTTACAATTTGAAACCATCTACCTCCAAGGATAATTCTCACCAAGTAAAAATAATTTCCTACAGAAAGTTGTCAAAATATACCCAAAAGTGTTATTTCCCTATATAAACTATAGTAAACTTTACCCCCTCCCCAAGGGAGAACGGATAGCT